CACGAGGCCACTTGCCGGCTCTGCCTCGCAGCTTTTCCCAGCCGAGCAGTGTGCAAGAAGAGGACTGTCCCGTGTTTTCTCCTTTTCCCAATCCAGTTCATAAGAAGCCACTTCAGGAGGTGGAGATCGCTGCCATTACCGATGGTGCCTTGCAAGGCCTGGCCTACCTGCATTTGCATTGTAAGATACACAGGTAAGCGCATGGCCTCTCCTTGTTTATTCCCAGGGGACGGGGTTCTCAGCACTGGGCAGGGCAAGTTCTGAGAACTGCCTTGATCCATCTGACGAAGGGAGGTGGCGTTCAGTGTGCTTTCGAGCGACTTGCCTTCCTCCTCTGCACTCAAGCATCAGTGCACAACCAGGAGGCACTTCTAGATCCCTCCTGGATCCAGGCGCTCTTGGGGTGCTCAGGGGCATCACAGAGGCCTTTCCATCAGCTACAGTCAGTGAGCCAACCATAACTTCTCCTGGACGGAAGAACGCGGGGCTGCGCTTTCTTTGCTGGTAACGTCCAGCTCTGACGACTGCTGGGTTTTATGGAAAGGGCTGCCATTAATTAAGGGATGACTTGAGGATGCCAGTAGACAGACGCTGAATTGCTGCTCGGACTAGCTAGGTGGAACACATCTCACTAGGAACTTCTCTGGCTGCTGGTACACTTTCAAAGCTGATTCAGGGTGTGAGGCCTCAAAAGGTCTGATCACCTTTCCCGGTCCCTCTCTGTGTCTTCCTGTCTTCTGGGGTGAGGGAGAAGAAAGCGTTCTTGGTGCAGGTGTTCAAGGATAGGCTGGACATGCACATGGTGGGCTTGTTGTGACCGGAGCCGGCTGGAGCCGGGGGTCAGACTCGATGGCCCGGGATGCTCCTTTTGACTCGCTCTGTTTCTGTGTTTTTATGGTGACTGGCCATCTAAAGGGAGGCCTTCCAAGAGCGCGAACAGGTTGCCTGGGGAGGCTCTCAGGCAAGATCTGCTCAGTGGGCCCCTCTCTCAATAAATCTGTCCTCTTGCGGCTCCTGCCACCCGCTGTGATTGCTGTTCCCCATTGTTTCTACCCCTTGCCTGCTGACAGGCCGGGAGAGACAAAGAGTGAGCCGGCAGTGGTGTCTCCTGTTGCGTCTCTGCATTGCCCAAGCACGAGGCAGGTGGACAGGGAGCCTGCAGTGGTGGGGAGGAAGGGCGTGCCCAGGGGACTTTGGTCAGGAGACCTCTGGGGGGTGTGGGCCCTTGGCAGGTCCCCAGCCAGGCCTAGGCGTGCTGTGGGTCCAGGCTGTGGCGCCCCACTGCTGGAATTTTCTCCGCAAGGATGTTTGCCTGGCACCAGACTGTGTATCATGCCAAGCACTAGGTGAATACGGATTGCCCAGAGCTTGTATACTCTTTCAGAACAGTTTTCATGCAGGGGACACATCTTCCCATCTCACTGTTTCACTTTTGGTTTTAACTGCTTATTACAAGCCTGCCTTGTGAATATTTTAAACTAGCAAATGGACAGGTAGAGGCAGCGCTCAGGTAGCTACAGGGAGGACCGCAAGCCAAGAGTTGGACACCCTCGGTCTGAAGGAAGCCAGGCTTGCTGGCGCTCTTAAGTGTGGTCTCTGCCCTGTTGCTCCCCTCTAGACCCCTGGGAGGGAGTCTCCCCACTTCATTTCCTTGAGATGGGGCTACCCCAGGACAAGGCGGAAAGAAGCGGGCTCTTAAACTGATGCAGCGAAATCTTTAAGCAAATCTACTCAAGAGCTGGGCATATTTATTTATTTAATGCACTGTAGCCTGTGGGCCTCTCGGCAGGTTACAAATCTTAAAATCGTAAGTACCGTTCAGAAAGTACTCGAGTATACTCATGAATTGCAATAAGAACTAAAACAATAGGACAGAACAACAACAAACCTCAGCAGCTATAATAATTTAACCCCCACCCTCTGGCACTGCGGCAGATGATCATACTGAGCCTGCCTGGGGTTGGGCACTGTCCCATCAGGGGAGCCCCTGTGGCTGACTGCATTCCCCTGGCAGAGGGGAGGCCTGCGACTGCAGTTCTCACAGGACTCCTCCACCTTGGCCTCAAACCAAAGGAGATGCAAAGTAGGAGTGCAGGAGAAATACGTTCATTTCCTACAACGTACGATGATTTGCACTTTGAAATGACTATGTGAAACCAAAACTCACTTGTTCTTGACATTTGCACTTAAGTGAAGTTCTCCAATGACAGGAAGTGTGTAAAAATGCATATGAGGGTAAATTAATTTCAGAAATGCATATTAGGGAAAAACCTTCAAAAATTGGTATATTATGCTCAATGGGTATTAACTGGAAGTGTGCATTAATCACTGTGGATCTTCATGCATACTTTAAAAATTAATATTTGGAATGAACTGGAGAATGAATTTACAAATAAAGAAATTGCGAAGAATCCATGCCGGCCAAACTTAAATTGGAAAAATGGGAACTTGGAATTGACAGATGTCATCCATCCAAACTGCAAAAGCATGTTGGTTAGGGTAGCCTGCCCCTAGTGGCTGAAGCGATTATTGTAGGCTTCAACCACCTCAAAACATTTAGAATGAATCAAAGCATTGTAAAAAGACATTAACCCCAAGCTGCACACCTGTAGAGTCCCCTGACAATATGTGCCAAGTTTCAGGTGCCATGGTCTTAGCTCTGTGGGGGTGCTGGATAGACCCGCATCATCCTTCATTGCAATAGATGAGAACAGCTTATAAAATCCTGGGAGATAACCATAAGGACAAAATTAGCAGCCTGCAAACATAAGTTGCCTGAAAATGTAACTCTCTGTAATTGAAAAGGGCTACTTCTTGCACTGAGCGTCAGTCTGGTTCACATGTTGGATTTGGGATCCTGGTTCTAGTCTACGCACTCCCTGCCCAACCGACCTCACAGGGTTCTTGTTGTTGTGAGGATAAAATTGAGAGGAGGAGGAGAATTATGCAACACCACCCCGAGTTCCTTAGAAGGAAAAATGTGGGATAGAAATATAATAAATAAATAAATACACACTCCTGTTTGATTGTACATTTTGGAACTGACTGGCCCAGTATGCCTGTCAGATTTGTCATTCTAGAATCTACAGAAACTAAAAATTCGCAGCTTCATAAAATGCCTACTGCACGTTGATTCTGTGCCAACGCAGACGTTCAGTGTGCGGTCCATAAGAACAGAATTTCCCAGGCATTTATAAATGGATGGCATCTTGCCAACAAATCACTGTAGACCCGTTGCCACACGCATACCTGAAGGGGCACCTTTCCTCCTGTGTAGCAGCCCGGTCTTCATCTGAAGTGCTCCTCTGCCTCCTCCCCCTGATGAAATGAGGGGGGGTTTGCAAGAAGCAGGGCCTTCTCCTGCATAGCCCCCCAACAGAGACGTCCACTCCCTCTCGAGGTCTGGTTGGCACCGCCTCTTTTGGCTTTTAGGCACCAACTAAAGACTTTTCCATTGAGCAGTTATTGTAGCAGGTGAAAATTTAGGTATTAATAATGTTATTTTATGCTGCTGCCAATGGGACATGATTTTAAAAGGAGGGGTATTGATTTCTAATTTTAATGGTATATGCCAGTGGTGGCGAACCTATGGCATGCATGCCACAGCGGGCACACGGAGCCGTCTCTGTCGACACACGAGCCAAGTCGCCCCAGCATCGCCCCAGCAGCTGAGCATCAGATAGCAGCGCACATAGGGGCCATGCGCATGCTCGGAAAGGAGTAGTGGCACCAGGCGGTGACGTCATGTGCTGCGACTCATTAGCCACAACTAGTCCGAGCTTTCGCATGGCCGGTCAAGGATTGGACTGGCTGTGAGTTGTGTTTTCTAAACTAAAACCTCAGTATTCAGGTTTTATTGTCGTGTTGGCACTTCGCGATAAATAAGTGGGTTTTGGGTTGCAGTTTGGGCACTCGGTCTCTAAAAGGTTCACCATCTCTGGCATATGCTTTGTGTGTTCATGTGTGGTATTTATTATTATTTATTACAAACATTTATATCCCGTCCTTCCGACAAGTGCTCAGGACAGCTTACATAATATAAAATTAAAATAATACAATAGTAAAACTACAATTAGTAAAGCAGTATAAAACAGAACATCATAAACTGAAAAGAAAGGGAAGGAAAAGAATAGAAAATGTGACTGTGAGGAAGGAAAAAAAATCTTAAAACATCTAAAACCCTTGATTGTTAAAATGATGGTTGAATAAAAAGGTCTTTACCTGGTGCTGGAAGGAACATAACGTTGGTGCCAGGCGGGCCTCTCTGGCGAGCACATTCCTTTCATTCCATTCTATTTCCTTTTTGGTTTTAATCTTGTTAATGTTTTTACTGATTTTATTGTTATTATTATTTGTTTTTATAGTAAATGTTATATTGTGTTTGTATTGCTTTCTATTGTTGAATTTCAGTATGTTGTAAGCCACCCAGAGAGCCAATGGCTAGTGAGGCAGCGTATAAATTGAATAAATACATGTGAGCAATCTCTCATAAGACGTAGAAATACAGACGGCTTTTCCTCTTGTGTGCCTTGCCTGTTTCCCTGCTCTGAACTCGCACATGTGAATGAGCAGGATGAACTGCGCAAGAGGGAAACCGTGCCTCAGCCCCGTCTCCTGCGCCCCCTGCGGTTCAATTAGGGCTGAAGCCCCCTTTCTGCCTCACGACATGCTGTGCAAAGCTGTTGGAAACATGCAGCAAAGGGGTGTCCGTGGGGTCGGGGGCTGCATCACACACCCCTGGGACTGGGCCTCCCCTTCCAGGTGCCTCACCACCTGCCACTGGAAAGAGGGGGCCGCTTAACCTGGAGGGTGTGGGACTCCTGTGAGGAAGGGATGCCTTCTGCACCCCTGGTGACGCTTTTCTTCCTTCTGTTCAAAAGGGACATTAAAGCGGGAAATATTCTGCTAACAGAGCCAGGCCAAGTGAAGCTAGCTGATTTTGGGTCCGCCTCTATAGCATCCCCAGCCAACTCCTTCGTTGGAACACCTTACTGGTAAGCAGCGCTGCTTTCCTTTCGGCTTTCACGGGGCTCATTGAAGAAGAGCTAGGAAAGTCATGATGCAACCCGAAAATGCGGCCCTGGCCTTTGAGAGTCATTTGGGCAGTGAGCGGGGTGTCTAAACAAGAGCCTGTAAGTTGCTGCTCGGTTGAGCTGCTGCGGAAACGTGCAGCCCGGAGAAGGGGAGGGGCAGCAGCTGTCTGAAACGCTGCCATCCTCGCGGGCACCACTTGGTGCTGCAAGGTGCCCAGTGCCATCCCTTCCTCGAACAACCAGCTCAGAACCTCCGTGTCAGCGCATGCACAGGACACCAGAAACTTTCCCTGCACACACCCGATTCATACCAACAGCATTGCACAGCAGCAGCAGCTCTCGACAGCCAGGGTGCAGCTCTCGCGGGACAGCATTCCTCGGGCTTTCGAACGCGCGAGCAGATGCGCCACCTGCTCCTCCAGTTTTAGGGCCCCCGCAGCTGCAGTGTTCCGCACTTGCAAGGCCGCCGCGTCACAGGGAAGAAGCCGCTATGGGTTCTGCCTGCCCTTGGGGTGTATTTTGGAGAGAGGATCGCCTCCACTCAGTACTTCAGGCCGTCCTGCGGAGGCGACGTTTAAATGGGGGATTCCTGAGCTGCATCTCGCCCTTCTTGCCACTCTTCGGCGGTGCCCGTTCATGAGCCCCTGGCTGAGACTTCTGAGAGCATCAAGGGTTGCTCTCATCTTTCAAGGCTCCGGACTGGGGCTGGGACATGTCCCAGGACCCTTCTCCACACTCGATTTGCCTGTGTCAGTAACAATAGAAAGTAACCCAAGGGCATTTGTGGGAAGGCTAACCCTTGTGTCAGCAGCCCTCTTCCACAGTGCTTATGACGGATGTCTGAACTTGGCTGCTTCCATTCTGTCTGCATTTCACAGAGGATGGGGCACATTTTATTCCTGTCGCCGACAGAACCTGTTTTTTTACACAAATGCATTTGTGTGCGTTTGTGCAATTTTTCCTCCAGAAAATACCCAAATCTCCCTATATGTGCTTTAGTCTGAGGGTGGGGAGTGCACATCTTGGTTGCTGGGGGAGGGGTTGTATTTTCCTACGGCTGTGTTTGCATGAAATTATAGAAAGTAGAGAAGATGATCCGCCCGGAGAAGCTGTTCCACCACAAATTGTGTGGATTGGAGCCTAAACATCGAGGCTCATTTGAATCCACTGCAGATTTCTCCAGCGTCCCTCCTGACTGGCGGCACATGGGAGCCAGTCAAGGCCCGGCCCGGCTTGAAGCTCCGCTCACAGGGAGAGAATGCACGGTCCGCAGTCGCTGAGCACCTGCCTTTTATCTCCTGCACCAGCAAAGCAGACCTGCCCCTGGTGTGGACGTCCCTGCTGTTTTGCTCTGTGCACTTTTTCTCTAAAACCAGAAATCCTTCCCCTTTCCCCACTGTGCTCCAGATGCCCTTGTTTCTTTCATAGCTGCAACCCCAGGCCGAGCATCTCCGGTGTGTCAGTGGGAAAGCTCACCGTCTCTGGTGAGGCTGAAATTGGTGCCTTAGGACCCTTTCGGCCTGTGCAGGCTGACTCAGGTACAATGCCCGACGAGGTTGGCGCGGGCCGCCCATCCGCCAGCATGTTGCACTAACAGCTGATCCTGAGGTTGCCCGTTTGGTTTGCTCCGCTCATGCCTCCTTACCGTCCCCCCTGGAAAAAGTTTCTGCTCAGCAGGCGAGGGTTTTTATTTTTCCAGCATGGCTTAATTCTGCTCCATGCGGATTCTTTTACGTTCTGGGGCAGCTGTGCTGGTGACGACGCAGAGGGTGGGGGGCAGCCCCCCTCTACTCTGCCCTGGCTTCCTCTCTCCGGTTGCTTAACCTGCCTTGTTTGTATCCCTGCATGGTAGGATGGCCCCTGAAGTAATTCTGGCCATGGATGAAGGACAGTATGATGGAAAGGTAGATGTTTGGTCTCTTGGGATCACATGCATAGAGTTAGGTGAGTACACGGCCGTGTCCGGCAAATTACGAACCTGCTAAATGTGATGCCTGCGCTTTCAGGGATGGTCAGGTCTGTTTTCGGATACTGGGCCGGTGTCCAAAGTCTATTTTGCGGCAGTGGGAGCTGTTCGATGGCCAGTCTGCTTCTAATACAACTTCGCAAGAGTTCTGAAGGTGGTTGTGGCCCATTCAGTGCCAACACACACAAATATGCAGCAAGATGTGATGTGCAAACTCCTGATGGCCAGAGCATGGGATGTCTGATCATTTTCAGAAAGAAAATTTTTTCAAAGTGCCCAATTCTGCCTCATTTTGGAAGCTAAGCAGGGTCGGGCCTGGTTGGAATCTGGATGGGAGACCCGAGTCTTGGACGGAGTGGGCAGGTGGGCCCAGTGGCCTGCTAGATGCCTTCCAAGTCTTTGATTGTACAGATGGCAGCCCTCTAATCTCTTGAAACCTTCAACGGATTTCTTTCACGCTTCAGTTAGATTTGGTAGGGTTGCCAAGGGCCAAAAGAAATAGCTCCAGGGCCCGGATTCAGCCTGGTGGCCGGATTCACCCATTGACCATCCCTGTTCTTAGTTTAGACTGTGACATTTACCTTGCTCCTGGGAATCAGTGACTCGGATGCAACCTTTTTTTATTATTTACAAAATGTATACACTGCTTCCAAACAGAAAAGATTCCTAAGTGTCACATAGTAAACAAAACCCCCTAATCAAAATGCACACAAAATGTGTAGTTATACATACAAAGCAATTTACATGGAAACCGTTTCTACATTCAAATGTAAACAATTTATACCAGTAAAAGTGTGGCTGGTCATTCAGCAGAAGTTTGGTGAAATGAAATATGCCGGCAGCAGCCACATCGGCACCTGCCCAACTTTAACTGGCAGGATATTCCTCAGCAAGGGAGTTTGCAAGCGCGTGTAGTTTGATATCAGGTGCAAAACTTAGCATCACCGGAAGTGCCACTCACTTCCCGAGTAAGCAGTTGATGATCCCTGGTAAAATGTCAGGACGGGAAAAGTAGGCTGAGGAAGGCCTGCGTCCGTCTCGTGCTCGCCCCGTGTGTCTGCACCTCGGCTTTCTTCGCACAACTGGGGTCTCCTCTCGCACGGTGCGGACTATTCAGCTGCAAAACTCGGGGTTTGTTATTTCAAAAGGGGTTTCTGACCGATCCATTAGGAAGTCGATGGAATGACACAAGGAGGAAGAAACGAGCCACGCAGGCAGTAACGATATTGGCATCCTGTGAGGTGAGAGGTGACGGCATGAGAGAATACGTACACTGTGATTCGCTTCTGCACACAGTCTACTCTCCGTAAAGTGTCGCCTTTGCTTTTTGAAGCCAAGCACCTGAGGCTTCCGTCTCCTAAGCCATAGTTATAAGGGTGTTGTGCAGATCCTGATCCCGAAATTGCAAAAGCATTTTCCCGTGTGGTTTTTATCATCCCGGTGCACTTATCCCCACGCAGTCCCTGCAGGATTGCCATCAACACCTTGAAAGGTCTGCTCGGGGTTGTGGGGGGTGGGTGGTTGCCAAAGTTATTTTTTGCAAATATTTGAGATTTTTAAAAAACGCTACACTGCGTCCTTGTGCTGCAGCGCTGGCTGTTGCCTTGTGTGATCCTTCCCTTGGTCTTCCTAAGAGCAACACATGAAACGCTTCTTGGACTGGTCGCACTCCTTTTTTCTCCTGACTCTCTCGCCCTCTCCTTCCAGCGGAACGGAAACCACCTCTGTTCAACATGAACGCTATGAGTGCCTTATATCACATAGCCCAGAACGATTCCCCCACGCTACAGTCGAGTGAATGGTAAGAGCCGCCCTTCCCAGTTCGCTTCCGGGCTCCTGCACCGCGATCCCCCCTCGGTCAGAAGAGGGGCTGCTCCCCCCGCCTGAGCGGTGACAGGCGAGCGAAGGCTGGTGCGGTGCAGTGGGCAGCGTGTCGGCGGGATGTGGGGGAGCTGGATTGCAGCTGCTCTTCAGGGCCTTCGTGCCTTGCGCCAGTCCCACTGGCCTTCGGGGGAGCTTCTGGCAGCAGAAGCACGAATCATGTGCATCTCGACATGATCGTGCCGGGGTCTCCGTGGGCACTGATTTTTCCATCATGGTCGTCACCATCACCATCATCATCGTCATCACAATAATAATAAATGGGAGACCAGCATGCGGCAAAGCAGAGTACCTCCCTCCAACTCCATTGTTCCTTGAACGGAAAGGTGTGGCCTTATGTTTCGGAGCGCAGCTGACACCTCTACCTTGTCCTTCCGTTCTTGGGCAAGTTGCAGTTTGCGGCCATTAGCCCCTCCAGTTTGGCTTCAGGCAGTCATTGCATCAAGAGACCACACACCCCTTTCTGGCAGGCACTTTGCGCGGCACTCGAATTCCAGGCATGCCCGCCCACCCACCCACCCCTGCACCACTGCATGCGCATGCAAGCAAAGGCGTATACAGGATGCGATTGGGCCGGGCAAGAAGCAGCCCTTCATGCTCTCAGCAGAGGGAGGGCTTCGTCTTCGAACTGGAGATGCTAAACCCAGGACCTCCCCCTGGGGCTGGTTCCCCCTTGCCGTGATTTTGCAGACCACCCAAAGCAGCACGCCTCAACTGGCTGAGACAGCACCTGCCTGTCTTCTTACCAGTAAGACATTTTGCCTTACTACGAGAGCATGTCCACCTCTTCGTAGCCTGCCAGCTGCGTACTGCCCATCCCTGCAGTAAAATAACCAAGGATTTGAATCTGTGTTCTTCACGTCTTAAATCTAAAATTTAAACCGAACACATCTTACATATTTCACCACATGGGCTCCGTTTGGAGGGTGATTTGTAGGCCTGCATTTCAGAATGTTGATGATCTTCTCTCCTTCCTTCTCTGCTGTCTTGCTGATTCTCAGTTGGTGTGTACGTAATTTCCCAAACCTAAACGTATTTTATTTATACTCTGTTCCTATGCTCAGGACCAACTCTTTTAGGGGCTTTGTTGATTGCTGCTTGCAGAAAATACCTCAGGAAAGACCATCGTCAGCAGAACTATTGCGGGTAATTCTTCAGACATCTGCAGGGATCTGTTTGTGGCCGGGTTTATGGCATAAATGGGGAACTGCTGCACCTGACTCACCTATTCGGGGTCCCCTTAGAGCAGGGTTGGCGAACCTGTGGCATGCGTACCGCAACGGGCACACAGAGCCCTCTCTGTTGGTGCACGAGCCAAGTCGCCCCAGCATCGCCCCAGCAGCCGAGCATCAGATAGCAGCGCGCATAGGGGGCATGCGCATGCCCGGAAAGGAGTAGCGGCACCAGGTGGTGATGTCACGAGCCACGACTCATCTGAGCTTTTGCACGGCCAGTCAGTGCGCTATGAAGAATATATATATATATATTTGCTTGGACTGGCTGTGAGTTGTTTTTTCTAAACTAAAACCTCAGTATTCAGGTTTTATTGCCATGTTGGCACTTTCTGATAAATAAGTGGGTTTTGGGTTTTCGTTTGGGAATTTGCTCTCTAAAAAAAATCGCCATCACTGCGTTAGAGAGTGCGAGCACTCATTCTTCTGTGAGCCCCAGTACATACCGAAAGATGTGGCTTTGCTGGCACAGAACCCACCCAAAGCATCCGCTCCAGTGCAGTGACTGTCACACTTCTGGCATTTTTCTTTCTCCAGCTGGAGAGATTCTGATGCTAACAATGACTTCCGTTTAGAGTAGACATTGCAGGGAGGAGAGGACAGTCCATGGCATTTTGCTAGAGAGGAATAGCAAAAGTAGAGCTGAGGATGGTCTGAGAGTCCAGAAGAGGCCCAACGGCATCCCAGTGGCCATGTGGCGAGGGCCAGGAAGGGAGCATGTTTGCAGTCATTGTGGGCTTGCTCTGCACATGAGAAAGCCCATGTCATATTTCATGGCGTGTGCCAGCGTGATGGGTGCTTTCCTGGTGTTGCTTGACCTCCATTAAGCAGGCCAAGGCACGCCTAAGAACTGGGCTGGGAAAGGTTAAAGTGAGACGGGAGAAACTCGAGCAAAGACTTGAGCTTCCTGGGCTCGAGGCCTTCCTTTTTTGTTTTGCAAACACCTTCCTTTTGAAAACGCAAGGAAACGCGTACTAGTATTTGCTGTCAGATTCCCGAGGTCTGGTCAGGAAGCTTACTCAATTCCACCTCCCTGGAATGCACTTTTTATACACGGGGCAACACATTTTATGTAAAAAAGGAAGATTCAGTGGCAGTTAGTTCCTCCAGTTAGTGTTTCCAGTGCTTGCACATAAAGGAGCCCTTCCCCACCTGCAGAAATTTGCCGGGCGGCAGCGGTGTCGTTGTGTCTGTGTGCATATTTGTTTTTTCTAATACAGAGTGCTTCTATATCCTTCTAAAACCAGCATGCGTTTGTTCGCTGTGAGCGGCCTCCACGGGTTCTAATAGACTTGATTCAAAGGACGAAGGACGCTGTGCGAGAACTGGATAACCTTCAGTACCGGAAAATGAAGAAAATCCTTTTCCAAGAGGCCCACAACGGTCCTCTGAATGAATCTCAGGAAGAGGAGGAGGTATCAGGTTTATCTATACCAGTGATGGGTAAAAATCAGCCCCGTGCTGCATGTGGTACTTCCCAGCCCATTTTCCTGGGTCTTGGCATGCCTTGTAGGTTTTGTGCTGAACAGGAATGACGTCGTCTTTCCTGCTTGTGGCCCATGATATGTTTCCGTTGGTTCCTAAAACAGACAGAAGCAGTCTGATAGGCTGCCTGTCCTTCGTCTGGGTCCTGGCGGTGGCAGGGGAGGGATAACCACCCTCATCAGACCTAAAAGCCCCCTGATGCTTAGCAGAACACGGCACTTCTTTCTACGCGATACCCCTAGAGTGGGATAGGTGCATGCCAGCTCGAGGCGAACCTTGCAAGTCTGGGTCCCAAGAATCCTGCAGAAGCAGTGACCCGAAAGCATATCCGAGGACTGCACAAACAGGCCGGTGACCCTGATGGGTAAGAGGACTCGAGCTGGTCCTGCAGGAAGGACCTAAACAGGCCCACTGGGGCTTTGCTGAGTCGGTCAGTCCACAAACGAAGCCCCAGGACTGGCTTGCAGGGCTCTGTTGTGCTCTAGGTGGGAACGGTGCCTCGAATAGCAGTGGGTCTTTGTCCGGAGCTGAGCAGATGAAAGTGCATTGGTGGACCTGTTGGCCTCATACCTTCCTCCGGTATTCAGCACCTGCTCACCTGGAGGAAGCTTCTAGGGTGCCTCTGGCATCTCATGGAGGAACGTGAGGCAGCCTCCAAAGAGCTGACATTAATTCTCAGATAGGAAGGGTTTCCCCTGGGTTGCCAAGTTATTTAGATTCCCTGGCCCAGCAAGTGAGATGAGGGGGAACCTTTTGGTTCTCTCTCCCAAGCAGAAGAAACAGGCGGTTTCTTTGGTTGAATAGAAGTATTCTTGCCCCAGAGAGCTTGGAAAATCTAGAAAGAAGGCTGCTAAGAGTTGTGTCCACAGTAATGACCAAGTTGTGTGGGCTGAGGCATGCCAAACCCAGGGAGAAAAATGTGAGTGGGGAAATGCATTACGATGATACATGTTTTTACTCTTGGAAGTGAAACTGTCAAACTCTTTGCCACACCTTGATCAAATTGAGCAGGGCTTCAGGTGCCAGATGAAAAAGCTCGCGAAGCCGATTTCATCCGGTGCAGCTTAAAGCTGGCCATGTTATAATTACCAGAACTTCACGTGGGCTTTAAGGACCATGATTTTCAAAGTAACCGGACGCATTTCTAGTGTCAAGCACACCAGTACTCAATGGGTTTACTTGTGAGCATTGTTTCAGAGTGAATTCTAAAATCCAGCCACCTTCACCCTAGAAAGGGTCTGTTTTAAAGTACTGCAAAGTGGGAAGGCGAATACGGAATTCTGCATTCCACTGAGTCCCAAAGCGTGGAAATCCTATACCTAAAGCATCTTCAATGGATGCTCACCTGACTATTTCTCAGAAACCTTAAAACAAAGATTCTGCTGCCTCTTATTACAGACGTATAAAATGATGAGCAGCTTTCTCTTAATACAGTGAAAATGAGTGTTCGTGGCAGGAAACTCTGAACCACTTTAACACAAGTCCCTTGCCTCATAGTTCCCAATTTAAATTACTCTATAATCCTTTATACCACCATATGCAGCACACCCTTGGCAAAAGTTTGTCATGGCGTCTCTTGAATTTGGTTACAATCATGGCATTTCCTTCATTTCAGTTAATCTGTTGGGAAACGACAGATTCTTTAATGCTGGAGTTGGGAGTTTTCTAGGACCAAACTAGAAGCGCGGTCGAATGCCAACAATTGCAATAGCGTGCTTGTTTTTCCTTCGCGTGGCATCAAGGCTGCAGCGAGGGCAAGGGGTTCTGCTCCTCGCCCAGCCCCACATGCTGCTGCCCCGATCCTGACCTGCCCTCCCTCTGCCCCCCAGACACTGCTGCTTCAGAAAAGAGAAACAGCCTCACAGTTGCAGATTTGCTCCTGATGTAACATGTATTTCTCCCTCAGTGAAGTTGGAACAGGTCAAAGAAGTTCCTTTCAGTAGCACGGAAGCATAAGATGGCCTACCAAATAAATCAGCATTTTGCTTCCATCGTGACAAAGGCGACATAGAGGTGTAGAGGGGGCCCTGGTGGTGTGAGATGGATTTTGGAGAAGCGCCTGTGCATTGTCTTGATCCGAGTCCCTTCATCAAGGCGTACCTTTGGAGTGGTCCAGACAAGCTTTCTTTTCAGTCCTCCACGTAATATTTGCATGCAGCATGTGAAAACTGCGTGTTAGAAGCATGTCAGAACCGTCCCTCTGTCATCTGTGCGCACGTATGGCCATTTTAACTGTAATAGTGAGATATTACCCCGGCTGCATTTTTTGACAATCTCCAAGTACGTACCTGTTCCTAAAATATGACTGAAAATTTGGCTACCTGTGGGCACCTTCCCTTTCTGGTGCCTGATTTGAGGCACCTTAGGAGTATTCAGGCAGAAAACAACGATATGACAATTGCCACAGGGGAAATGCAATTTCTGCACAACAGAAACAGGGCAGCTGCAATTGCTTAGGCATCTGCTTTCTATGAAATGGCGTGCGATTTTTTTTAAAAAGCATCCTTTCTTTTAGGCATGCTACTTCTTGAAATTCCTGTAGGCACCGCTGAATGTGCGACTTTGATATTCTAGCTCTCAAAGAAGCGCACTTGTGTAGTGCTGTACTAAGCATTGGGCGGATTCAATACCAGGATTGAAACCAGGAATTTCTGCAGAGTAGATTCACTCTTCCCACAAAAAAGTGTGAAACTTCAGCTTGGTTCAGGCCCATTTCCCTGTGGATGTTTTCTTACTGGGCTAGTTAAGTAGATGACCCCCCCCCCCCCCCCCACACACACACACACACATGCAACCAGTTAGGCTAACATCGCAGCATCCTATCTGATGATGTAAAAGGATTTTAGCAACTAAAATCCTGTTTCGGATATGGCTCCTTGATAATGTCCCTGAACAGCATTGCAGTTAAAGGTAAGTGAGGACAATGCCAAGTACGGAGCAGATGGTTTTTCAAGGAGAACTGAAGCATCTGGAAAGTGGCGGTGGGGGATCTTTCAGCCCCGCACCTTTTCACAACCCTGGTTTGGACCTTACATTCAAAATTTGATACACTGGCGAAGCAGTGGCCCCCAAAACCCTGTCTGGAGACCAGGATGTACCCAAAGGCCCTGGCAAATTCGTAGGATATTTGAGAGGATTTGCAGTGGTTTTGTGCTGTGCTCACACGAGGGCCACAAGCAGGCCCTATACGTTTGGTGATCTGTGCACTGCCGATTCTTGCATTCCGATACATACCATGAGCAGATTGATCAATCCATACTTGCATAGTGCAATCTGTCGGTAATCTGGTACTGTTGTGGGATGTTCTAAATGAAGCAAATGCCCGTCTTTCGCAAAAGAGGGGCCAACCCAGCTGAGTGTCCGGAGTGCCAGCAACAACTGCCTGGGGCCAGCATTGTCCATCTCATGCCACCTCTCCCCTGCCCACCTCCTCTTTCTCCACCTTTGTTGGGGCTTCTTAACAATATAATAATCTGCATGCCTACATAACTCATTAATCTTCAAAGACGGGTTTCCAATGTGCTCTCACCCGCTCTTCAAGGGAATGTCTCGCTCACTTTCTCCAACTGTGCACTCCCATGCAGAAATTTAGCTGTCAGGGTGCATGGAAGCGCGCATATTTTGTATATGCCCGTGTCGCATATACCGCTCAAGGAACAAAGCTGCTTGAGGAACCAGCCGGGAGGCCCATGACCATATTGAACTTCAGGGCTTGCAAAGTACATTTCATGGGAGAGCAAAGGACACCGCAGATTAAAGAAGGGGACGCACACGGTTGCTGTGAAAGGGGGGTGGTGCCGTGACAGTTGCACTTTGGGATGCTCGTCCTGCTAATCGGACGAACCTCACGGAAACACTCCTGGAGACAGGAAGTCACCAGGAACCTCCCAGCCCCGCTCCACGAGAGGAGGACATTGGCCACAGCGAGCGGGACAAATGCCTTCCCACGGGGTCGCCCGTACCAGAACGCTTGCTGCCGCCGAGCGTGCGCTTGGGCATTTGCTTCCGGCAGTACCGTCTTTTAATGCTCCTTGTTTTGTAGGACAGTGAGCATGGGACAAACCTGAGTAGGAAGACCGACAGTCTGAGCAGCACGCATTCTGTCCCCAGCATGTCTGTGAGCACGGGCAGTCAGGACAGCAGTGTCAACAGCATGCAGGAGGTCATGGATGAGAGCAGCCCTGAGCTGCTCCTGCTGCATGACGGCGAGAGCACCGTTAATTCCGCCGCCTCGGTCGTGCACAGGAAGGTACGTTGGCTTGTGCGCTCTCCCCGGCCCCGGGCAGCCCCTGCTTTGTCGCTCTACTTCTCCGAACCGATGGGGGCCGGTTGCAAGGAGCGGGCGACGCACCCTTGCCGGCTCGAGGGCCACTCCTTGAGTTTCCCGATAGGCCTACTCAGATGCAGGGCAGGATCCCAGAGATGGAGAGAGACGCTCCGCTCGCCTAATGCGGGGAGGCCCATGGCTGAGGTTCAGGCGCTTCGGTGGGCCGAGGTGGTAGCTGGAGGGTCAGCGAGGCGTCGCTCCGAAGGCAGGGGCCGCGTGGCCTCCGAGAGCATCCCGTTCCATGCCGCTCCCCCATTCTGCACCCCAGCACTGCACGTCCGCCTCTGCCCTTGCTTGTCGCACCCTGTCCCCCGAGCGTCTGTCCTTCCCAAGTGGTTCCCGTCGGTTGAAATGGTCACCTCCACCAAGCTAATCCAATAACCTGCCATCCACCTCCAACCAAATCCTTGGCTGGATTCCCTGCTTGCAAGGTAGCAAGGCAACAGCACCATGGACCACTCCTTGAAGGTATGTTTTTGGGGGAAGTCAGTACTGGGCTTCTGTTTTTCCTGTGCTCGCTGATGCATTTCCACCCAGTTCCACTTGACCCCGGGAGCATATTTTGTGACCGGCACAGCGGGCGGTGCTGGCACTGGCGCTTTCACTGGAAGATGTGGTGTTTGCAGCTGTGCAGTTGTGAAATAAAGCTGCGGTGCCTCTTCTCTGAAAAAGTTTAAGATGGCACCATAGCCTGCCAGCTCACGTGTAAAGCATTCTTTTGTCAGCATTTGCAAGAACGGAATACCTTTTCCGAAGGCCATGCTGGGTTGAGTGGAGGAACAAAGTGAAGGCGGCAAATGCCGGAACGAAAGAGCAGGGAGCGGCAGAGCTGCATGGGAAGGCACCGCGCAGGGAGTCTGAAACCTTTTCATTCAGGGTCCCTCTGAGTTTGTGCTCTCGAAGAGAAACCAGGCCTAAGTACTCAATCCGTGTGTCTCCTCCGAGAAAGAGGAGTGATCTGTGAGCTGTGCTGGGTGATGAGACATCTTCCATGTCCCTTGAGAAGGGGAGCAGCTCAGGAGTATATAGATTGAGTCTATATACTAATAGACTTAATGTAGGAACAGTTAGGCACACCTTAGCACTCATTGATTTCAATACGATGCAGCGTGTATCCCTCTAAGTGGGCCGGCATGTGTACCACGCATGCCTGTACCACGTGTGCAGTGTGTGCCTGGCAGACACTTACACACAACCTGCAGGTATTTAGTGTGTTATTTTTGGGCACAAAATTGGAACTGGACCAGTTCGGTTCAATTTATTGTGATGGATCAGTATAAGAACTGTGCATACCCGTTGATGGAAATATGAACCCCGTTCACTGCAGTGGCAGTGAAAATATTAATTAAATGGTAGGGGTCCTTCTCACTAGAGTAGACCATCATGCCTGGGAGAATCAAAGGCAGAAGAGGAAGGGGAAGATGAACTATTGGACAGATCCATTCCATCAAGGAAGCCACAGCCTTGAATTTACAAGAGCTGAGCAAGGCTGTCCTTGGCATAACATTTTGGAGGGCTTCCGCTCATACGGTCGCCATAAGTTGGAGATTGCTTGACAGCACATAGCAACAACAGGGATTGTTAAAGGGTCTTTTAAAATCCTACTATCATAGTGCCTTTATAAATCTCAGTTGTGGCTCCCTTAGAGCACCCTTGTAACGTTCTGGACGCATCCTCTCGGAAGGATATTAGGTAAGCTGGAAGAGCTACCAGAAAGCACAACCACAATAACTAAACCAAAATAACTAAAAAGTTAGAGGACTTTGCTACAGTGAAGGGTTAAGTATCTGTGGTATCATGTTTGAGAAAAAAGATGCGTGAACTGTGACATAAATCATAGAGGCTTATGGAGGCAGGTCAACATGTGTCAATGCTGGATAGAGACAACTTTTTCTTCTCACCTGTAATACCAGAACTTGCCATTCCCTAATGGAATCTCACCTGGGGATAGGATAGACAGACGTTCTTCACACTACAGGTGTGCAGTTATTATTATTATTATTATTATTATTATTATTATTATTATTATTATTATTAGACAATATTCCCACTTTCTTAGATGGACAAAAGAGAATCAGGTGCCTTTATAGCTAACTAAGTGTCTAAGGCAGAATGTTTATTAAATTTATAGACTGCAGCTCTAGTCCTGGTAGGGTCCTCTGGGTGGTACACATTGATTTATTTATTTGACACATTTACATTTCCACTAAAATCAACTAAAAAAACAACAAAATAAAATTGTACAGTACTACAATATGGACAAGTTATAGTAGCTTAAAAACAACAATTTAAAATTCTCAAATATTCATAAAGCAATAAAAATCAATTACTAAAATACCGGAAAAATAGAAACATAGAAACAGTGTGATTCAGAAAGGGCCTCCCGGGCCATCTAGTCTGACCCCCGGCTCCAGCCTTCACCTGGCTTCAAAACCACTAGTATTGAAGTAACATTATCAACACTAGTACACTAGTATTGAAAACAGAGCAGACTTTACCTGGCGCCAAAACACTTGTATGGAAGGTGCCAAGGAGAGCTCTCTGGGGAGCCGTTGCGGACCTGGGGCGCAACCATCGCAACAGCCCTTCCTCTGTTTGCCGTCCTCCTCGCCTCCTTGTGGGGTAGTTGTTTAAGAACAGCTTCTGATGCAGGTCTTAATAGACAGGCAGGTACACGGGGAGAACGTTGCTGAATGCTGCATTCAAGCGAGGGACGGGGCGCCCGGTTACCTTCTTGGCTACCGGTGGGACTACTGGGTGCTTCTGCCTCATCTTGAAACCTAGCTAGTGGCAACGTTTGGGAATGTGTTGATACAAAGCAAGCTTGTCGTACGTTAGAATATTGTGCAACGGCAGTAATGAGCATCTTAAGAAGTTGGTAGGCATTGCGGCAAGGAAGGCACTGAGTTCGAAAAGGATGGAATGTAGCCCAACACCTTGATGGGCTGGTTTCTAAAAATGCCTGAACTGGGGAGGGTTGCACATCGCCCTGTACGAATGGGGAATCTGGAGTATGCCCGGAAAGGGGAGGGTACTTCCAAGTCCCCAAGAGGCTGAAATTCAGTGCACACCAGCCCAACTGACATTACTTTCGAGAAGACTACCAAGGAAATAGAAAACTTTATTCTATTTAAGAATAAAGAAAAACATGGAGCATTATTTTTGTCTGATAAGAAGTTAGAATACTCATTAAGAACAAGAAATGGTGCTCGTGGAATCGAATATTCAACTTTTTTCTCATCACACATTTTAATTTAAAATGTGTACATCCAACTCGGGGGGTTCTCAGGGTTGTCTGTGAAATAGCTGAGGTATCACACTTAGCCAAAACAGCTATGAGTAGAATGATCTGAAAGTGAGACATTTCCCATCCGCAAAGCAAGAGATTCTTAAATATTATGCAACATAATCATGACACGTCCATGCCTTCAGCAAACTTTAAACCTTGGATGACTGGTGTCTAGGATTATAAGGACTGTTCAGCATCTGAAAGGGGGATATTTTTACCTCTCTCTCTCTCACACACACACAAAATGGGAAACGCCAGTGCAGGTTTGCCTAAGTTTTCTGGTTCTTTCCCCTAACACCTAATTTGCTCTTTTTACGGCTACAGCACACCAAGTTGGCCTTTCCAGTGAGCTTTCTGCTCCGTCTGAAGACCTCTTTGGTGTCAGGCAATTTAGCCTATATCAAAGGTGCTTTGTTCTTTCTGCACTATTTTTCTTGGTTTCTCCCTCTCCCTCTCCCTCTTACACACACACACACACACACACACTCACTCAGAGAGGTACACACAGTTACTAATTATGAAAAGCTTCCCACCTTTAAAAGACATGCCATTTAAAAATTTAAAACATATTTTAGATTGAAGCTTAAACATTTAAAATGCATCCATGTAGGTCCCTAATCTTTCTGATTTCCCTGGTACTTATTACTTTCCTGCTAAGATAGCTGCAAAATTCTGTGAATGAGACAGGACTGGGCACAGACTAGATTCTGAATGAGGCAAGGCAGCCGGTAGCTCAGTGTCGGGACACATGCATTGGGTGCAAAAGGTTCCAGATTTCAGCATCTTCAGGTAAGGCCAGAAAGAAAAAACCTGCCCTGGAATGCTGTATTGCTACTGCCGTTCAGGGTAAAAAAAATACTGAGATGGGCAGACTGCGCGCTCTAGTTGGCATAAATCAGCTTGTGATACTCCTAAAGTCACTGTAACAGTTAAAATACGAAATAATAATACAAGGAAAGATTTACATGGAAAAACATGCCACTTAGAATCATGGACTAGTAGAGTTGGAAGGGGCCGTGAAGGCCATCGAGTTCAACCCCCTGCTGTTGCAGGACGCCAAATTACACCATCCCCCTCGGACGTCCACTTGCCTCTGAAATTTAACATGTTGGCACAAAAAGGGCTAGTGAGCTTGACTCCCGCCTTCCCTTCTTCTCACAGCAGATGCTAATTTTTCGGAGGTTGGGGTTTCCTGTATACTCTTGTCCTGGAAATAATAGTGTAATCGCTATTCTGCCTCATGGCGCATTGCTGGCCCCAGTGACTGGGGTAACCAAGGGAGGCCGTGTACAATTTACCTGATATTGGCTATGGGCAGATCAAAAGCCCTGCCCACACGGTTTGCTTCCTATACTGCAGAAATGCAAAATGGTGTACGTTGGACAAGATTATGCAATCATATTGCTATTGTAATTGCTCTCTAAGCAAAATCCAGGCATCCAAACATGCATTACCACAATCAACCAAGATCTTCCAAACCTACAGTCTTCATACCTATAGTAGAAACTGGAGAGAGGCATGCCTGTTCTGAAGTTTTTTTTTTAAAGGATGCTGCAGTTTGGGACTTGCTCCTGGGAGATCCCAGGAGACTTCCTATCCAAACACCTGTGCTGTTTTCCTGGAGCCCATATGA